TTTTCCTCCGACCTCTTGAGGGCCTTCTGTCAGGGGGAGGGCATTGAGCAGTCGTTCACGCTTCCGGCCTCTCCACAGCAGAATGGGGTTGCTGAGCGCCGCATTGGCTTGGTCATGGAGGTCGCTCGTACCTCCTTGATCCATGCGGCTGCCCCCCACTTTCTGTGGCCGTTTGTGGTCCGGTACGCTGCGCATCAGCTCAACCTCTGGCCCCGTGTCTCCTTGCCGGAGACCTCGCCCACACTGCTGTGGACGGGGAAGGTTGGCGATGCGTCGCGTTTCCGGGTCTGGGGATCTCGAGCTTTTGTCCGCGATACGTCCGCGGACAAGCTCTCCTCCCGCGCTGTTCCTTGTGTCTTCCTTGGCTTTGTCCCGGACGCGTCTGGTTGGCAGTTTTACCACGCCACCTCGCGCCGTGTCCTGCCCTCTCAGGACGTCACTTTTGACGAGTCGGTGCCCTACTACCGCCTCTTCCCCTACCGCACTGCCCCGCTCCCCCCCCCGCCTCTCTTCCTCGCGCCAGGTGCTGCTGTGGTAGACCCCCTCCCCCCTCAGGGTGCCGCTCCCTCAGGTGTGTCCCAGGTAGACCCGGTTGAGCCTGTCGAGGTAGCTGTCGACTCTCGTCCTGCTCGGGGTGCTGAGCCTGAGCGTGCGGAGCCTGGGGGTGCGGAGCCTGGGGGTGCGGAGCCTGGGGTTGCGGAGTCTGCGGGTGCGGAGCCTGCGGGTGCTGAGTCTGGGGGTGCTGAGTCTGGGGGTGCTGAGCCTGGGAGTGCTACGTCTGAGGGTACTGAGCCAGAGGGTGCTGCGACTGAGAGTGCTTCACCTGGAGGCGCTCTTTCCTCACAGCAGCGGCGTGAGTGGTACTTACAGTACTGCAGCCTCAGGAGAGGTGCTGCTGGAGCTCGTGCTCGTGCTTCCCCTCCTAGGCGGGAGCTGCCCTCTCCCCAGCGGCTCCGAGAGTGGTACGCTCGTCGCTGCAGTCTCCGGAGTGGCGCTACTAGTGTCACGGACCCTGGAGCTGGAGGTGCTGCTGGTGCTGGAGCTGCTGGAGGTGTTGCTGCTGCTGGCGGTGCTGCTGGCACTGCTGGAGGTGCTGCTGGTGCTGGTGCTGCTGGTGCTGCTGGAGGTGCTGCTGGTGATGGTGCTGCTGGAGCTGCTGGAGGTGCTGCTGGAGCTGCTGGAGGTGCTGCTGGTACTGGTGCTGCTGGTGCTGGTACTGCTGGAGCTGCTGGAGGTGCTGCTGGTGCTGGAGCTGCTAGAGGCACTGCTGCTGCTGGCGGTGCTGCTGGAGCTGGTGGAGGTGCTGGTGCTGCTGGAGGTGCTGCTGGTGCTGGAGCTGCTGGAGGCACTGCTGCTGCTGGCGGTGCTGCTGGAGCTGCTGGAGGTGCTGGTGCTGCTGGAGGTGCTGCTGGTGCTGGAGCTGCTGGAGCTGCTGGAGCTGCTGGTCCTGGAGGTGCTCGTACTGGAGGTACTGGAGCTGCTGGGACTGGAGCTGCTGAGGGGGTTGGAGCTGGAGTTGCTGAGCGGCCGCGGCCGTACTACGTTCCGCTCCTTCAGCAGGTTCTTGGTCTCCCGCCCTCTACTGGTCCTACTCCTCCCCTACTGAGTCCACCGCCTGTCCAGTCACAGTCACAGTTACAGCCTGCCTCTCCGCTGCCTGGTCCTTCTCCTTACACTGCGCCGACGGGTAGTCTTACTGAGCGTCGTGAGCCTGAGTCTCGTCCTCCGTCGCCTGAGTCTAGTCCAGAGTCGTCTGAGGCGCGTCCAGAGTCGCCTGTCCGCGCTGTCCGCGCTGGTCGTCGTGCTCCGCGTCAGCGTCCTCCTCCTGTCCTTGGCACTCACTGTATGACCCTGCGTCCTTCCACTGCTCCACAGCGTGTCCCTCTGCCGTCTCCTCCTGCGTCCTCTCTTCCTGACGTTGCTGACCCGCCGTCAGACCTTACTCGTGCTGCCAGTCCTACTGTCGCGCGTCTCCTTGCGACTGTTGTCACTGACCCTACCTTTGAGTCCTCTGCTGCGTCTGCTCTAGTCGCTGAGCTTGTTGACTTTGCTGCGGCCTGTCGTCTAGACTACGCCGCTAGCCTTGTTGCTGAGTCTGAGTCTGTCTGTCCTCCGTTCGTCGAGGGTGAGTGTGCTCTTGGCACAGACGTCCTTGAGGACAGACAGGAGGAGTTTGAGTGCTTTGCCGCTGCTTTACCTCATCTCGTGTCCATGCTGATTGCCCCTGAGGGAGACCCGGATGCACCAGACATCCCGACCCCACGCTCTTACGCAGAGGCGATGGAGGGTCTCTACTCCTCTCAGTGGCAGACAGCCATGGACGCAGAGATGGCTTCCTGGAAGTCCACAGGCACCTATGTCGACGAGGTTCCCCCACCTGGGGCGAACATCGTCAGTGGCATGTGGATTTTCAGGGTGAAGCGGCCGCCGGGTTCTCCGCCTGTCTCCAAGGGCCGTTACGTTGCACGAGGCTTCAGTCAGCGAGAGGGAGTTGACTTCTTCCAGACCTTCTCCCCGACCCCGAAGATGACCACTCTTCGGGTTCTGCTGCACGTCGCTGCTCAGCGTGACTACGAGCTCCACTCTCTTGACTTCAGCACTGCGTTCCTACAGGGCTGCCTGCACGAGGAGATCTGGCTACGCCGCCCACCTGGCTTCACTGGGTCGTTCCCTCCTGGTACCCAGTGGAGCCTCCGGCGGCCAGTCTACGGTCTCCGCCAGGCACCCCGTGAGTGGCACGACACACTGAGGACTACTCTTGCTGCTCTTGGGTTTGCTCCTTTTACTGCTGACCCGTCGCTGTTTCTACGCACCGACACCACTCTGCCGCCGTTCTACGTTCTCGTGTACGTAGACGACTTGGTCTTTGCTACTGCTGACACTGAGGCACTCGCCGACGTGAAGTCGGAGCTGCAGAAGAGACACACGTGCACAGACCTGGGTGAGCTGACAAGCTATCTTGGCTTGCGGATCACCCGGGACAGAGCACAGCGCACCATCACCTTGACTCAGTCACACATGGTGCAGCAGGTCCTTCAGCGCTTCCGCTTCACGTACTCCTCGCCTCAGCCCACTCCTCTGCCTACCGGTCACTCGCTCTCAGCTCTGCCTTCGGATGAGTCCGTAGAGCCGAGTGGCCCGTATCCAGAGCTTGTGGGCTGCCTCATGTACCTGATGACCTGCACACGACCTGACCTTGCATACCCTCTTAGCATCCTAGCACGCTATGTCGCTCCTGGCCGTCACCGGAAGGAGCACATGGATGCCGCTAAGAGGGTGTTGCGCTACTTGTGCAGTACGTCGGGCATGGGGCTTGTTCTTGGAGGACGGCGCGACGTTGTCCTCACTGGACACTCAGACGCTTCTTGGGCTGACGACTAGGCTACTCAGCGGTCGTCTCAGGGTTACACCTTCAGCCTTGGCTCTGGCTCAGTTTCTTGGCGTTCTACACGCTCTTCCTCTGTTCTCAGCTCCAGTTGTGAGGCTGAGATCTACGCCACAGCCATGGCTGCCCAGGAGCTACGCTGGCTCACCTACCTGCTGACCGACCTGGGAGAGGGGCCTCGTTCTCCTCCAGTGCTGTACGTCGACAACAAGGCCGCCCTCGCCTTGTGTCAGGAGCACAGACTGGAGCACAGAACGAAGCACATCGCTCTGCGCTACTTCCTTGCTCGAGAGCTGCAGCAGCGTGGTCAGCTTCGTCTTACTTACGTGGCCACTCGGGCCAACACTGCTGATGTTTTCACCAAGGCGCTTCAGCCTTGTGATCATCAGCGTTTCTGTACTGTTCTAGGCCTTGTGCCTACTGTCCCTCACTTGCTCACTTCTTGACTCTGCCTGTACTGTGATCTCTATATATATACCTATAGTGGGTTTAGCCTTAGGGGGTACAACATTCTAGGGTTTCCTACTTGTACTCCCAATCTTGTTAGTTCAATCACACTTGTTCATTCTAACACAATTGGCGCATCTCGTCTTCTCCAACGCTCTCCTCCTCTGGTCCCTTCACACACTTGAACCCAGAGGGAAAGGGAGTAGCCACATGACCTTCACTTGGCAGCCAATGCCTCCAGGTACTTGCGTTGCTGCACTCGCATCCACCGCTTCTCCACGTCGCGTTCGATATGAAGCCCGAGGTAGAAGTTCACGTCACCAAGAGCCTTGCACTTGAATTTATCTTGTAGCTTCAGCATCACCTCCTTCACAAGTTCAGAGGAGGGTGAGAATATGAGAATATCATCCACATAAACCACCATGAAACTCCTCTGCTCCCCTTCGCCAAGCATGAACAAGGAATGATCGTCCGATGAGGGAGTGAAACCGATCTCCTCCAAAACTTCTCGCAGCTTGAAGTACCATTGCCTAGGGACATGCGTATACCCTAAACCCTAAACCCTAAACCCACCCAGCATTTTGTAGATCGCGGACGCGGAGCTGGTCTCGTGTGCAAGTGTGTGCTGTCGCGGGCAGTGAGGCAAGGTGAGGGCGGTAACGGCGGCGTGTGGTTGGTTGGAGGGGGCCAGGGCGGGTGGTAGGTGGGGTGGGTGGGTGGGTTGGTTGGGGGGAGCAAGAGGGGGTGGCTCGCACACTGCTCGGCCTGTGCGACAACCATGTTCTCTTCTCTCCTTGTTCCTCACACGACAGACCACACCTGACCAGACGAGGGAATCCATGGGTGTTCACTCAACATATGTGCGAGTTGTCTAGCCAGTACTGTATCTGCTTTTTCCACTCGCTAGTGTCACCCATGCCACATCACTGCCAATTGACAGCTATTGTCGCGCCTTGAGCAAGAACCCGTCACTTCACACAGCGCGTGCGCGCATTGCGCTCCGCTTCCGCGCTTGCGGCATCCATCAAGCAGCCACACCAAGGCGCGGAAGCAGGAAAAAGGGAGCGGGAGGGAAGAAAGGGGGAGGCTGAGCGACAGCGGAGGCGCGAGGAGATTGAGACGCCGCGGCGAGTTTCAGGAGCTGCTGCGAGGCGCTCACTCAACCGCCATGGGCGCCGCTAATCCCGCCGCCGAGGCGGATTCGCAGTCCGCCAATGGCGCGGGCGCTATGGATTTCGACTGCGCGCCGAGCAGCGCAGCTGCGCCGCACTTGCCGCAACCAGCACCCGCGGTCTCGTCGCCCGGCGCATCGCATTGCGCTCCGCCAGTCGCCGGGTCCGCGGTAAGCACGCGGCAGGCGCAATCTTCGCTGTACGCGCGGCGGCAGGCGCGGCTGGCGGGTGGCGGAGAGAGCAGCGCGGAGCTGAGGCGCACGCGGAGCCTGGACGTGGAGCGCGCGCAGGTGGTGACGATAAGGGGAGCGGAGGGCGGCGGCGGGAATGGCGCGGGCGTGCAGGGCTTGGGATGGACCACGACTGGAACCGCCGCGGCGCTGGCAGCGGCGCATGGCGTAGGGGTTGGGGGAGAGGCGGGCGGTAATGGCGAGGCGAGCAAGGCGTGCAGGGACAAAGGCGCAAGTGCAAGCTCCAGCCGAGGTACGTCGTGCGATTCTGTGCTCTGGTGTGCTCTCATTTGCGCTCCCTTGCCTATCACGAGCCACGTCTGCGCATGCGCGCGTGTGCACGCAATGCCGTGTGCACCACGCTGCCGCCTCCTAATTTGTCCTCCCTGCTCTCCCACCCCCTGTCCTCACACCTCCCCCTTCCCCTCTCCTCGCGCCAGGCAACCCTCTCGCCGACTCGCCTTTCCTCTCGCGCCTATGCCGCGGTCGCCCCCCCGCGCCCTCCCCACTCTCCTCCCTCGCCCCCCGCCGCACCTCCTCCTTGACCGCCTCGCTCCTCTCCCCGCTCGCCTTACCCTCCGCGCCGACCCCTCCGCCACTCCCCCATCCTCCCAACCTCCCCCCTCATCCCCCCCAACAATTGTGCTCGTCTTGGGAAGCGGGTGGGGAAAGGGCGGGGGCGCGGGAGCGGGGGGCGCACGAGAGCGCAGTGGCGGAGGCAGCGGCGGCAGTGGCGGCAGCAGCGAGCTCCATTGCCGCCGCGCTCGAGCAGGGGGGCGCGGGGATGGGCGCGGGTAGGCGGGCGGTGGGGCAGGGCAGAGCAGGGGGGAAAGCCGTTAGCGGGGGGGTTGAGGGTGGGGCACTGGCGGGGGAGATGGAGGGCATTTGGCGGGCGGTGCAGCAGCAGCTGCAGGCGCAGTCGCAGGGGGGATCGGAGGGGGGAGCAGCGGGCGCGCAGCAGGGGGTGATGGCGGTTGAAGAATCAGGGATGGGGGTAGACGGTAACATGAGAGGCGCTGTGAGGGGAGGGGGAAGCAGAGGTGGGGGGGGACGCAGACTGCTGAAGGCTTCGAGTGTGGGCAGGGAGAGGGGGAGAGCGGAGGGAGTGGAGGGCGCGGCGTGGAACGTGGTGTGGCAAGCATTGGACGGTAGCGGGGAGGGGGGAGGGGAGGCAGCAGCAGAGGGGGTAGGGGAGGCGACGGCAGGGCAGAGCAGTGGGGGAGAGCGGTTGAGTGTGGAGGAGGAGGGGAAAGATTGGGAGGAGAGGGAGAGGGAGCAGGCGCGGAGGAAACTGCTGGGAAGGGGAGTGAGGCAGCTGACTCGCACCAATAGCTGCCCGCCCTCGGTGCACCGCGCTCAGGCTGTGGATGGTAGGCACGCTGTTGACGGTAGCAAGACTGTCACTGGCCTGTTGTGGGTGGAAGCACTCTGATGCACAGCCAGTCGCTTTCGCCACAGGCATGTGCCTACACTCTGCCCCATTCACAAGAGAATCCTGTTGCCCCATGGCACTGCTGCCCCCCATGCACATGTTCCACACAGTCTCACCCTCCTTCCTCTTCCTCTTCCCCCCCCCACCGCGCCACCACTGCCGTATGTGTGTGTGTGTGTGTGTGTGTGCGTGCGTGTGTGTGTGTGTGTGTGTGCGTGCCTGCGTGCGTGTGTGTGTGTGTGTGTGTGTGTGTGTGTGTGTGTATGGGGCATGCAGTGGGTGCTGACGAGGCCATGGCATGTCGCAAGCGACGTCGACTGCCGGCTGACACGCACGGCACCGTGCCATGGCCGCATGCCCAGGTGTGTGCACCCGCTCACCCGGCTCACCCACCCATGCTCCAATCCCCACCCCTTTCTCCCCTTCCCCATATCCCCCCTCTCCCCCTTCAACCCTGAACCCCTCCCAACTTCCTCACCTCTTTATTACCACCTCGCGTTTCCCTCTCTTGCACCGGCCTCTATTTGTCTCGGCTCCCATCGAATGTCTGCCTGCGCATCCCCTCAGTTTTTCCTAATCTTTGCACTCCTCGCACTTACCACACGCAGCACCCACCCACGGGCACCAGGGCAGCGCCCCGGGTGGTGCGATGCTCAGCAGCACATGCACCTCCCTCACTGCTCGCCCCTCACGCCTCTCCCCCTACCTCTCACCCGTCGCCCGCCCACCATGCCCCACGTGCAGCCATCGACCTCCACCTTTTCTGCTGCTGCCGCCCCCTTCTCCGCCTCACATGCTGCTCCCGCTACCGCCGCCACCGCCGCCGCTGCTGCCGGCAGTGCTGGTGGTGGGGGCGGGCAGGGGCAGTGGTGCAAGCAGGAGAGCGAGGGGGAGGACGGGGAGTGTGGGAGCGCCATTGGGGCAGAGCAGAGCATGGGGATGGGGATGGAAAGGCAGGGTAGCTGGGGGGGAGAGGAGGCGTGGAGTGGTGAGGAGGGAAGGAGCAGTGGGAGAGAAGGGGTGAGGGGGGGGGGGCAGGGAGGGGAAGGGTGGGGGAGCGGGAGTGGGGCATGGTCGAGCGAGGAGAGGGCAGGCCACGGACAGCCATAGCATTGCCGAGCGGGTGAGATGCCCTCATGCACTGCCTTGCCCTGCTCTGCTGTGCTGTGCCGTGCCGTGCTGTGCTGTGCCGTGCCGTGCTGTGCCATGCCGTGCGTGCTGATGATTTCTTATGCGACCAATATGCACAGCATGCATACACGGTACCCCTGCCGCGTGTTCTGTCTTCATATTCTCTCCTCGTGTGTTCCCTCTGAACCCCTCCTGCACCTGCATCTCCCTGCCCTCGTTGCCCTGTGTGTGCCCGCCTGGGCCACCCCTCCCGTGTGGGTGAGAGCGTGTGGCACCAGGTGCGGAGGGAGAAGATATCGGAGCGCATGAGTGTGCTGCAGAGCCTTGTGCCCACGTGCGCTAAGGTGAGCGCGCAGCTGGGAGAAGGGGGGGGTGGGGGAGTGTGGTGTCGGTTGCAGGTTAAGGTTTCAGTGCAGGGCTGCAAGTGGGGATGAGAGTGCAGAGCATATGGCGTGCTGTGCTGCACCAGGTGAAGCAACGATTGGCTGCAGAGGGCGTCCACACTCGGGCTAACTCATCTTTGTGTGCGTGTGTGAGTGCGTGCGTGTGTGTGTGTGTGTGTGTGTGTGTGTGTGTGTGTGTGCTTGCATGTGTGCGTGCGCGCGTGTGTGCGTGTGCGGGTGCGCGTGCATGTGTGGTGGCGTGTGCATGTGCTCATGCAGGTGACGGGCAAGGCCATGATACTGGACGAGATCATCAACTATGTGCGCTCACTGCAGCTGCAGGTCGAGGTGAGAGAGACACATGCACCACACACCACTGCACACTACCTTGGCGCCCTGCTTTCACCTGCTCCCCCCTTTACCTCCATGCACCAACTGAGTATGCATGCAGCAGTGACACATGTATGAGGTGGTCCCTCACCCCCATTACGCCAGCCCACACCTATCATGTACACTTCCTGCATATCCCGTCCGATCTCCCCCGCCCGCCCTGTGTGCGTGCATGGGGTGGCAGCTGCTATCGAGCAAGCTGTCAGCCATGGAGTACGACCTCATGCCTGAGGATGACCTGCTGCCCGACGCTGACCTCTTCCAGGTGCTGCCAGCCCCCCTCACACCATGCCGTGTCATCGCACCAGTCCTCGTGACAATGTCATGCACAATTTTCATTCCAATCAGGTCACTAGATACCTTGTTGCCATACATCGACTCCCGCCCCATAAAACAATCCTCCCCTTCCTCCCCTTTTCCCCGCCCCTCTTCCTCGTTCCTCAACACGCATACTCCTCGCGTTCACTCTTTCCCACTCCCGCTTTCTCTTCCTACCCCCCTTCTTCCATGTCCCTCCTGCCCCTCCTCTCCACTTCCTTCCCCCCTGCAGCTCACCCCAGAGCACCTGGTTGGCTTCCCCGCACCTTCCTACGCGCCCGCTGCAGGGCGCCCTGCACCCAGTGGGGGCGAGGGGAACCACGAGGGCGCAGGCAGTGGGGGAGAGGCGGAGGGGGGGCAGGGGATGGGTGGTGGGGGCGTGTCGGGGGGCACGAGTGGAGGCGAGTGGGCAGTGGGGCAGGGAGGGGCGGTGGTGAAGCAGGAGCAGTGGGAGGAGGTGGGCATGTTCCTCAGGGATGATGGGGGCCCGGGAGAAGAGCACGGCAATGGCTCTGCTGCTTGCAAGTGGGAGGCGGAGGAGTCTGACGTGGCAGACAGTGGCGGGGTGGTGGGAGGAGAGGGTGTGAGCAGGAAGGGCGCGGATGCGCAGGCAGAGGGTACGAGGGGCAAGGGCGGAGTGGTGTGGAGTGGCAACGGCAGCGGCGCTTGCGGGGGTGCAAATGGCACGTATGAGGGCGCGGATGTGTGTGATGGTGGGAGGGCGTGTGAGTGGCCGGCCCTCTTTCCCACAGATGCGGGTGTGGAGGCGGGTGTGGTGGGCGATGGGGGGGTGGATGCATGGTGGAAGCACGGGCTGGAGGACACAGGGGGGGCGGGCGGGGGCGGAGTGGGGGCGGGGGAGGTGGATGCGGAGCAGGCAGCGGAGAGCGAGGGGCTGATGGACATGCTGCTGTGCCACATGAGTGGCGGCATGCAGCACCTCTCACTGCACCCCCATCCCCACACTGCCCCGCACACACACCCCCCAGCTCTCACTCCACCCGGCCCCCTTCACCCCAATGGGCTGTAGGCCACGTGCTGCTGGCGCTGCTGGCACTGCACCGCCTGTCCCCACACGCCCACCTCCCACCCTCACCTCACTCCTGCGACCTGTTCCTTCCCATCCGTATTCACCTTCCTCACCAGTTCCCCGTTTCTCCCCCTTCCTGCTCTGTAACCCTCGTCTGCCACTCCGCCTGCCCATCTGTCACATGCATGAACATAGCCTACATGGCATCCTTCTCCCACCATATGGCACCTGCTCTGCTTTCACCCGATATGCAGGCGCAGGGCACTGCATCCCTGCTAAGAACAAATGGCCTAGCTGGGCACGTACGGCTTCAGAGTGCAGACCGAGGATAGGGCACCACGCAGTGCTTGCTGCTGTGGGGGGTCAGCAGAGTGCATGCATGGATGCAGCACTGTTGCACGGCCATGTGTGCAATGCCAGTGCTGCGTACACCCGCTTGCAGTGGGAGGGTAGAGTTGGAAGGTTGCAATGCAATGCAAGGCAGGGTAGCTGCAGAGTGCTCAAATTGTGAGCCCTCTTCTATCTGGATCACTATGTACCACTGCTCATGCAGGCCATGCGCTATTAGTGGCATGTGTCTGCAAATAAGCGACCAAATTCATGTGGCCCATCAAGGAGTCTTGTTTTGTAGGTAGTAAGCTACCGTACTATTACCGTATGACCTATTATGACACGACATTCCATGCAGCAGGTGCGCTAGAGCTGTTGCGACTTCCACCATACCGGTGTGCTCAACTCAACTCCATCAGCCCTGTTCTTGCTGGGCATTCTCCACAGCCCTCGTCTCTGCCCCTGCTCGCCCGCCTTGCGCATTGTCCAGTGCGTGCCTGAGCCCTTGCAGCAAGGGCTGTGCACGGGAGAGAGCAGCATGGTCGCCCACCACCACCACGCACTCGCTGCCTGCACTGCCGGCTGCCACATCCACCGCCACCAGCCGCAGGTCGTACTGCACACACACACACACAGATGCCAAGGTTGAACAGAGGAAAGCGCATGGGGGATGAGCAGCGTGAGTCACACATGAGCTACGTGGCAATGAGCAACAAGTGGAATTGGGGCGGATATGACGGGTAGGCAGCGGTTGATGTGGTGTGTGGGCATGGCGCTAGCAGGGCACGGCAGCTGACCTGCCCGTTGTGGCGGTGCACGTGCACTTGCACCACACCACGCCCCTCTGCACCGCGCACAGGGAACACCAGCCAGCAGTCCCGCGGGGCAGCACGCACAGCCATGCCCGACAGCACTATGCCCCCGCCCCCCTGCACGTACGCCCTCACAGGCGCTCCCAGCAGCGGTGCTCCCAGCACTTCCAGCACACCCGCATGCGTGTTGAGGGCGCACATGGCCATGCGGTATGCCGCTGCTGGACTCATGCTCGTGTGCGCCCGCACTGCCCCGCCCTGTGCTTGAGGAGGGGGGGACGAGGGGGGCGGGAGAGTGGAGAATGAGGGGAAGGGAGAGTGCGGAGGACTGCGAGGGATGTGGACAGGTGGGAGAGGCAAGGACGGGCGTGGTGGATGGGGATGGTGGGGGTGGTGGTGCAGCAAGGGAGTGAGGTGAGGCGTACCAGAGCAGCGACGGCAGTGCAGGAGGCAAGCAGGTAGGGCAGGCCGAGGGAGTTGGGCGGCATGGTGAGGAAGAGCGAGGCGAGGCGGAAGGAGCAGCCCCAGAGCAGCAGCGACAGGGACACGCCCCCAGCGGACAGCAGCAGCAGCGAGTGGTTGCGCCAAAACGCCTCCACCTGCAATGCTGCTCAAGCGGGCGGGGGAAGAGGGGCACGTGGCCATGGCACGAGGTGAAGGCGGTGCAGGGGATGCGAGGGGCAGTGCGCACAACACATGGCAGAGGAAGGTACAGAAGGACAGTGGCAGCAGCAAGTGGTTTGCTTGCGAGCTGCTGCCCATGGCACTCATACCTGCTGCATCCCTGTACTGCCATGCAATGTGGTGCAGTGCGGTGCGTGGATGTTCCAGCAGCTCCTGCCACGGTGCAGGGATCACGGAGAGCAGGCGGGGAGGGAGCCAGGAGGAGGGGCGAGATGCGGGCGCCTGCACACACAGGTAGAGGGCGGGGAGCGTTGAGGTGCGGGCTGCCGTGCACTGCACAACCTACATGAGCAGAGGCAGCGAGCGACAGCGCGAGGGAGGAGAAAGAGGTCACATGACGCAAAGTAAAAGCGTGGACGAACGGGAGGAGAGTGGATGGATGGATGGATGGATGGATGGATGGATGGATGGATGGATGGATGGATGGATGGATGGATGGATGGATGGACAGACGGACGGACGGACGGACGGACGGACGGACGGACGGATGGAGCGAGGCAATGGAGAGGTCAGGCGGGAAAGAGTAGGTGAGGGCGAGTGAGTACGGCGTCAGTGTGCGACGATCGCACGCCTTGCGCGGGCCACACGTGTGCGTCCATCACGGCCCCTCCCCCCACTCTCCACTGCCTGCTGCGCGCCCACGCCTCGTCGCCGCCGCCTTGCCGCACGCCTCGCCACCGCACGTCATGCCCCACGCCGCACCCCTCCGCGCTGCCGCCACCCGCCACTGCTCGTCCCGCCACTGTCCCGCGCGCCTCCACCTGCCCGCTCCCCTCGCCGCTGATCCGCCAAGCGCCCCATGCAAGCAACGCGCGAGCAGCAGGGAGTGATGATGGTGACGGTGACGGTGACGATGACGGTGCGGAGCCGCGCGGCAACGCGGCAGGCGTGTGGCACGGAACAAGGTACATCCGCGCGGGTTGCGCTTGTGTGCGTGTGCGCGGAGGCGCGGCGGCATGGGCGAGTTGATCCCACGCCGCGCGCAGCACACGGCGCATGCCGGGTGCTTCCATGTGGCGCGGGACGAGTGTGGCGGCGAGACAGGGAGAGGCGACAGGGAGAGGCGAGTGAAGGAACGGCACGCACGGAGGGTAAGGGGGAAGACGACTATCAGCTGCTCTGAAGTGGACTTTCTACACACTTCGTTATGTGCTCACTCGTTTCGTATGCAGTAACGATCATAAGTAATTTGTGAATGACAAACATGGAGTGAACGGAATGATAACTATGTGACGGATTTTACAACGACTACATTACAAGCCAGGTTGTTGTTACCAGTACATCGAGTTTACCTGTAAAGAGCACAGTCAAGCCAGGCGAACCAGCACATGTCCAGCCACAGCGAATCTCAATCTGCTGGCCGTCTCGCTGTCAGTCGCTGTCGTCACACAATTCGCGATCATCACTTCTGTCCCCGCACCACTTCTCCGTTGCGCCCGTCCCTTGCGCCGTCCCTTGCGCCCGTCCCTTGCGCCCGTGCGCGCGTCCCTTGCGCGCACCACCTTGCGCCCGCCACCTTGCGCGCGATGCCTCCATCTCGTCGCCGCACGCGCCTCCCGTTCCCCGACCGCCACTCCGCGCTGCGCCGCTGCACTTTCGCCGCGGCCCTCTCCTTCGTAGCGCTCTCGCTCTCCGCGCTCCTGCTGCTCCACTCCCCCACGCCTCTCTTCCCCCCGCGCCTCTCCGCCTCTACTCATTCCGACATCCTCCACACATCCCCACTGGCCGCGGGCATTGCCGCACGCGGAGCGGTGAGCTGGGCGCGGCGGGCATGGCGGGGGCAATCGGAGGGGGAAGGCGAGGTCGCGCAGGCATCGCAGGGATGGCAGGCGGGCGCGCGGCGGAGGCAGCTGTGGCCGCGCGGGCGTCCGTTTCAGGGGGAAGGGGGGCGGCTGTGGCCGGGGCGGGTGTGGTTGGATGAGGAGGGGCGGCGCATCCAGGCGCACGGCGGGGGCGTGCTGTACGTGGCGAGCGAGCGGCGGTACTACTGGTACGGCGAGAACAAGGAGGGCGACACGTACTCGCTCAAAGGCTCGCTGGAACGGGTGAGAAGCGCCCTGACGCACACACGCGCGCGCCAGTAGTACCAGTGGCACTCCCCCCCGCATGTGGCTGCTGCACATGGCGCAGCACGACATGCCATGGCATCCAGAGCCTTGCATGGGCAGCACCAAGGGGAAGGCAGTGCGCCATGGCGCCAGTGGCGTGGCCCTCCACTTCGGCCGCCCACCCCCTTGGCGTCAGTGCCTTCACCATCATCACCTGCCGCACAATGCCATTCTGCCCCACTATCACTCCCTCCCTCTCCTGCCCTCCTCCCTTCCGCCCTGCCCGCCCTTGCTCTCTCCCCCCCCCCCCGTGCGACCGTTGGAGCAGAGCAGGTGGACGTGGTGGGCATCAGCTGCTACAGCTCGTCGGACCTGCTGCACTGGCAGGCGCACGGGGTGGTGCTGGCGCCCAACACGCACGACCCCGCCAGCGACCTGCACGTGAGCCGCGTGATGGAGCGCCCCAAGGTGCTCTTCCACGCGCCCTCGCGCCGCTACGTCTTGTGGCTGCACGTCGACGACGCCGCCTACCACCTCGCCAGCACAGGCGTCGCCGTCAGCTCCCATCCGCACGGCCCCTTCACGGTACCTCGCTCGCCCTGCTGTTTCCAACCGCACCCCTTCGGCCTTTCTTGCATTCCTCGCCCGCCCTTCGAAATCTTTCCCCACTCAGTTTTTTCTTGTCCTTTTGCTGTAGGCCCATTCACTCCTATTGTCCATACGTGCAAGCGACATGGAGCATGTGTGGTGGGGTGTGCTGATGCGTCGTGTGTGGGCAGTACGTGGGCAGGTTCCGGCCGAACGGGCAGGAGAGTCGGGACATGACGGTGTTTGGGGACGAGGACGGGGTGGCGTACGTGGTGTACGCCAGTGAGATGAACGCCGTGCTGCACATTGCACGCCTCACCCCCGACTACCTTGACGTCGACGGTGGCTTTGTGCGGCGCTTTGTGGGGCGCTCCAGGGAGGCGCCCGCCATCTTCAAGTATCAACAAGTCAGTGCCCTCTCACTCGCATGTGCGCTGCTGTCCGGCGCCCCTGTGGCTGCATTGCATTGCATGGCATGGGATGGCATGGCATGGCATGCCTTCATGTGTATGTCCCCACCGCTCCTGCTTCTCCTCCTTGCCTGTGGCTTTTTCCCTACGGCAGCATTACTTCCTGGTGACGTCAGCATGCACAGGGTGGGACCCCAATGAGGCTGAGGTGCATGTGGCGTCGCACATGATGGGTGAGTGGCGCCTGCTGGGCGCACCATGCTCCAACCACCACCACCAGCACCAGCACCAGCAGCAGCAGCAAAGGTGGCCGTGGCAGGGCGAGTCGGCGCCTGGTGCATGGGCGCCCTCATGCAGCAGCACGTTCGAGTCGCAGGGCATGTTTGTGCTGCCGCTGCCCAACGCCCCGCCCGGCGTGTTTGTGTTTTTAGCAGACCGGTGGAACAAGCACGACCTCGCTGACTCACGCTATGTGTGGCTGCCCCTGCACCTGCTGGGCAATGGCAGCACACCCACAGTATGGGGCCGGCTGAAGGATAAGGGGATGGCTTCTCAGCAAGTTGCAGTAAGGGGTGGTGCTGTGACCCATGCAGTCATTACATGGCATGAGAGCTGGGAACTGCCACAGTCATGGTTGCATGAAGCAGAGACTACTACAGGCTAAAAAGAAAAGAGGCTACTTTCCTCATTGCGTCACTTCCACAACAATGCCGTACATATGCTGTTGGCTGTACTCTACATCGTATAAAAATCTGTGTGCATGAGATTGCCTGCAGTGCCTGCGGTACTAGAGAATGTGAAATCGAGAATCTATGAGAGTAGTAAACGCAGCTACGAAACGAAACTGCTCCTGAATGTTGTTGCATATTCGGGTGGCCCATGTTCAAATACACATACCAGAGCAATTTCAGCTTGGTTCGTGCGCACAGAAAAGTTCGGCGCTTGCGATGACGGCAGTGTCTGCCGACAAATGCTAACGAAGCGCATGGATCCCTTTAGGCATAAGGAAAAACATCGAAAGACTTGAATGTTGTTGCATATTCGAGTGGCCGTCTAAATACACCTACCAGAGCAATTACAGCTTGGTTCGTGGGCACCGAAAAGTTCGGCACCTGCGATGACGGCTGTCTCTGCCTACAAATGGTAACGAAGCGTATGGATCCCTATAGGGGTAGTGAAAACCATCGAACGACCTGAATGTTGTTGCATATGGGGCGGGGTGATGGAAAGCGGGAGAATGGGGCGGGGTGATGGAAAGCGGGAGAATGGGGCGGGGTGATGGAAAGCGAGAGAATGGGGCGGGGTGATGGAAAGCGGGAGAGTGGGGCGGGATGATGGAAAGCGGGGGAATGGGGCAGGGTGATGGAAGGAGGGAGAATGGGGCGGGGTGATGGAAGGAGGGAGAATGGGGCGGGGAGATGGAAGGAGGGAGAAAGGGGCGGGGTGATGGAAAGAGGGAGAATGGGACGGGGTGATGGAAAGCGGGAGAATGGGGCGGGGTGATGGAAAGCGGGAGAATGGGGCGGGGTGATGGAAAGCGGGAGAATGGGGCGGGGTGATGGAAAGCGGGAGAATGGGGCGGGGTGATGGAAAGCGGGAGAATGGGGCGGGGTGATGGAAAGCGGGAGAATGGGGCAGGGTGATGGAAAGCGGGAGAATGGGGCGGGGTGATGGAAAGCAGGAGAGTGGGGCGGGATGATGGAAAGCGGGAGAATGGGGCGGGGTGATGGAAAGCGGAAGAATGGGGCGGGGAGATGGAAAGCGGGAGAATGGGGCGGGGTGATGGAAAGCGGGAGAATGGGGCGGGGTGATGGAAAGCGGGAGAATGGGGCGGGGTGATGGAAAGCGGGAGAATGGGGCGGGGTGATGGAGAGCGGGAGAATAGGGCGGGGTGATGGAAAGCGGGAGAATGGGGCGGGGTGATGGAAAGCGGGAGAATGGGGCGGGGTGATGGAAGGAGGGAGAATGGGGCGGGGTGATGGAAGGAGGGAGAATGGGGCGGGGAGATGGAAGGAGGGAGAAAGGGGCGGGGTGATGGAAAGAGGGAGAATGGGACGGGGTGATGGAAAGCGGGAGAATGGGGCGGGGTGATGGAAAGCGGGTGAATGGGGCGGGGTGATGGAAAGCGGGAGAATGGGGCGGGGTGATGGAAAGCGGGAGAATGGGGCGGGGTGATGGAAAGCGGGAGAATGGGGCGGGGTGATGGAAGGCGGGAGAATGGGGCAGGGTGATGGAAAGCGGGAGAATGGGGCGGGGTGATGGAAAGCAGGAGAGTGGGGCGGGATGATGGAAAGCGGGAGAATGGGGCGGGGTGATGGAAAGCGGAAGAATGGGGCGGGGAGATGGAAAGCGGGAGAATGGGGCGGGGTGATGGAAAGCGGGAGAATGGGGCGGGGTGATGGAAAGCGGGAGAATGGGGCGGGGTGATGGAAAGCGGGAGAATGGGGCGGGGTGATGGAGAGCGGGAGAATAGGGCGGGGTGATGGAAAGCGGGAGAATGGGGCGGGGTGATGGAAAGCGGGAGAATGGGGCGGGGTGATGGAAGGAGGGAGAATGGGGCGGGGTGATGGAAGGAGGGAGAATGGGGCGGGGTGATGGAAGGAGGGAGAATGGGGCGGGGTGATGGAAAGCGGGAGAATGGGGCGGGGTGATAGAAAGCGGGAGAATGGGGCGGGGTGATGGAAAGTGGGAGAATGGGGCGGGGTGATGGAAAGCGGGAGAATGGGGCGGGGTGATGGAAAGCGGGAGAAAGGGGCGGGGTGATAGAAAACAGGAGAATGGGGCGGGGTGATGGAAAGCGGGAGAATGGGGTGGGGTGATGGAAAGCGGTAGAATGGGGCGGGGTGATGGAAAGCGGGAAAATGGGGCGGGGTGATGGAAAGCGGGAGAACGGGGCGGGGTGGTGGAAGGAGGCAGAACGAGGCGGGGTGATGGAAGGAAGGAGAATGGGGCGGGGTGATGGAAAGCGGGAGAATGGGGCGAGGTGATGGAAAGCGGGAGAATGGGGCGGGGTGATGGAAAACGGGAGAATGGGGCGGGGTGATGGAAAGCGGGAGAATGGGGCGGGGTGATGGAAAGCGGGAGAATGGGGCGGGATGATGGAAAGCGAAAGAATGGGGCGGGGTGATGGAAAGCGGGAGAATGGGGCGGGGCGATGGAAGGAGGGAGATTTGGGAGGGGTGTTGGAAGGAGGGAGAATGGGGCGGGGAGATGGAAGGAGGGAGAAAGGGGCGGGGTGATGGAAAGAGGGAGAATGGGACGGGGTGATGGAAAGCGGGAGAATGGGGCGGGGTGATGGAAAGCGGGAGAATGGGGCGGGGTGATGGAAAGCGGGAGAATGGGGCGGGGTGATGGAAAGCGGGAGAATGGGGCGGGGTGATGGAAAGCGGGAGAATGGGGCGGGGTGATGGAAAGCGGAAGAATGGGGCGGGGTGACGGAAAAGCGGGAGAATGGGGCGGGGTGATGGAAAGCGGGAGAGTGGGGCGGGATGATGGAAAGCGGGAGAATGGGGCGGGGTGATGGAAAGCGGGAGAATGGAGCGGGGTGATGGAAGGAGGGAGAATGGGCGGGGTGATGGAATGAGGGAGAATGTGGCGGGGTGATGGAAAGCGGGAGAATGGGGCGGGGTGATGGAAAGCGGGAGAATGGGGCGGGGTGATGGAAAGCGGGAGAATGGGGCGGGGTGATGGAAAGCGGGAAAATGGGGCGGGGTGATGGAAAGCGGGAGAATGGGGCGGGGCGATGGAAAGCGGGAGAATGGGGCGGGGTGATGGAAAGCGGGAGAATGGGGCGGGGTGATGGAAAGCGGCAGAATGGGGCGGGGTGATGGAAAACGGGAGAATGGGGCGGGGTGATGGAAAGCGGGAGAATGGGGCGGGGTGATGGAAAGCGGGAGAATGGGGCGGGGTGATGGAAAGCGGGAAAATGGGGCAGGGCGATGGAAAGCGGGAGAATGGGGCGGGGCGATGGAAAGCGGGAGAATGGGGCGGGGTGATGGAAAGCGGGAGAATGGGGCGGGGTGATGGAAAGCGGGAGAATGGGGCGGGGTGATGGAAAGCGGGAGAATGGGGCGGGGTGATGGAAAGCGGGAGAATGGGGCGGGGTGATGGAAGGAGGGAGAATGGGGCGGGGTGATGGAAGGAGGGAGAATGGGGCGGGGTGATGGAAGGAGGGAGAATGGGGCAGGGTGATGGAAAGCGAGAGAATGGGGCGGGGTGATGGAAAGCGGGAGAATGGGGCGGGGTGATGGAAAGCGGGAGAATGGGGCGGGGTGATGGAAAGCGGGAGAATGGGGCGGGGTGATGGAAAGCGGGAGAATGGGGCGGGGTGATGGAAAGCGGGAGAATGGGGCGGGGTGATGGAAAGCGGGAGAATGGGGCGGGGTGATGGAAAGCGGGAGAATGAGGCGGGGTGATGGAAAGCGGGAGAATGGGGCGGGGTGATGGAAAGCGGGAGAATGGGGCGGGGTGATGAAAAGCGGGAGAATGGGACGGGGTGATAGAAAGCGGGAGAATGGGGCGGCTGATGGAAAGCGGGAGAATGGGGCGGGGTGATGGAAAGCGGGAGAATTGGGCGGGGTGATGGAATGCGGGAGAATGGGGCGGAGTGATGGAAAGCGGGAGAACGGGGCGAGGTGATGGAAAGCGGGAGAACGGGGCGGGGTGATGGAAGGAGGGAGAACGGGGCGGGGTGATGGAAAGCGGGAGAATGGGACGGGGTGATGGAAAGCGGGAGAATGGGATGGGGTGACAGAAGGAGGGAGAATGGGGGGGGGTGACAGAAGGAGGGAGAATGGGGCGGGGTGATGGAAAGCGGGAGAATGGGGCGGGGTGATAGAAAGCGGGAGAATGGGGCGGGTGATAGAAAGCGGGAGAATGGGGCGGGGTGATGGAATGCGGGAGAATGGGGCGGGGTGATGGAAAGCGGGAGAACGGGGCGGGGTGATGGAAAGCGGGAGAACGGGGCGGGGTGATGGAAGGAGGGAGAACGGGGCGGGGTGATGGAAGGAGGGAGAACGGGGCGGGGTGATGGAAAGCGGGAGAACGGGGCGGGGTGATGGAAAGCGGGAGAATGGGGCGGGGTGATGGAAAGCGGGAGAATGGGGCGGGGTGATGGAAAGCGGGAGAATGGGGCGGGGTGATGGAAAGCGGGAGAATGGGGCGGGGTGATGGAAAGCGGGAGAATGGGGCGGGGTGATGGAAAGCGGGAGAATGGGGCGGGGTGATGGAAAGCGGGAGAATGGGGCGGGGTGATGGAAAGCGGGAGAATGGGGCGGGGTGATGGAAAGCGGGAGAATGGGGCGGGGTGATGGAAAGCGGGAGAATGGGGCGGGGTGATGGAAAGCGGGAGAATGGGGCGGGGTGATGGAAAGCGGGAGAATGGGGCGGGGTGATGGAAAGCGGGAGAATGGGGCGGGGTGATGGAAAGCGGGAGAATGGGGCGGGGTGATGGAAAGCGGGAGAGTGGGGCGGGGTGATGGAAAGCGGGAGAATGGGGCGGGGTGATGGAAGGAGGGAGAATGGGGCGGGGTGATGGAAGGAGGGAGAATGTGGCGGGGTGATGGAAGGAGGGAGAATGGGGCGGGGTGATGGAAAGCGGGAGAATGGGGCGGGGTGATGGGAATCGGGAGAATGGGGCGGGGTGATGGAAAGTGGGAGAATGGG